CACTTCGAACCGTCCCTGCAAAAAAGAGTTAGAAAACCCTCCGACGCTCAAGTTAGTAAACGTTCCAGTAAAGATAAAAGAATGATAAAATGCACAAATTAGATCATCGTGGAGTCAAGGATTCCGAGTTCACTACGAATGCGGAAGAACGACTCTTTCTCTAAAGGTTTTGTGAAAATGTCGGCTAATTGGTTGTGTGTTTCAACAAACTCAATTTCGACATCACCTTTGAGAACATGATCTCTAATGAAATGGTGCCTAATGTCAATGTGTTTCGTCCTTGAATGAAGAACGGGATTCTTCGTCAAGCTTATGGCGCTAGTTTTGTCACAACGAAGTGGAACGTGACTGATGCTAAGGCCATATTCCGCTTTGTCACAAAGAGTTTGAGCACAACAACTACCGGCGGCAACGTATTCCGCTTCGGTTGTGGATAACGCAACATTGACTTGTTTCTTACTAAACCATGAAACTAAAGAGCTACCAAGTAAGTGGCAAGTCCCACTCGTACTTTTGCGGTCCAATTTGCAACCGGCAAAGTCCGAGTCGAAGTAACCAACGAGATGACACGAAGAGCCTTTTGGATACCACAGTCCAACGTTAACCGTGCCTACAAGGTATTTCATGATCCATTTCACCGCCGTTGAGTGTGATTCCTTTGGACATGATTGATACCTTGCGCAAAGGCATACGCTAAACATGATATCCGGCCGGCTAGCGGTAGGGTAGAGAAGGGATCCGATCATACCTCGATACTTTTTGACTTAAACTTCCTTACCTTCTTCGTCTTTGTCCAGATGGTCGGACGTGCTCATCGGGGTCGCCATTGCTTTGGCGTTTTCCATTTCGAATCGTTCTAGGAGCTCCTCGAAGTATTTGGTTTGGAAAATGAACGTGCCATCTTTCATTTGCTTGACTTGGAGTCCCAAAAAGAATGTAAGCTCACCCATCATGGACATCTCAAATTCGCTTGTCATTAACGTTGAGAATTCCTTGCACAAAGACTCGTTAGTAGCACCGAATATAATATCGTCTACATAAACTTGAACTAAAAGGATGTTATTGTGTTTACTCTTGATAAAAAGTGTAGTTTCAACCTTTCCCCTTTGGAAACCACTATCCAAAAGAAATTTACTCAAACGTTCGTACCAAGCACGTGGTGCTTGTTTAAGACCGTAGAGCGCTTTCTTGAGTTTGAAGACATGGTCGGGAAACTCAAAGTCTTCAAACCCCGGGGGCTGGTCAACATACACTTCCTCTTGAATAAAACAATTGAGGAAGACACTCTTAACATCCATTTGATAAAGTTTAAAATCCATAGACGAAGCAAAAGCAAGAAGTAAACGAATAGCTTCTAAACGTGCTACGGGTGCATAAGTTTCTTCAAAATCAATGCCTTCTTCTTGATTGTAGCCTTTAGCTACGAGCCTAGCTTTGTTTCTAGTGATTATTCCATTTTCATCAAGTTTGTTACGGAACACCCATTTCGTACCAATAA